GAGTGAGTTCCGTATGAACGATCGGTGACCCCCCCCCCCTACCACTATACATATATATATGTACACGGGTTTCCTCCCATTCTTATTTTGTATATACCTGTGTCTGCCAAACTGCTCTTCTATCCTGTCGTCTGGATGAGTACAGAGGTGTGCTTAACAACCCTCTTCAGTTCGTCCTAACTCGGGAATTTTAATTTTGTTTCTCTAATAAGAGCCAAGATGCGACCTCCAGGGAGCAGTCGCGCAGAAGAAGACACGATCGCCGGAACAAGGGCTTTATTAGCCCGGCATCTCGAATTCTCACTCAAATTCATCATCTGAGACAGAGTCAGATAAGGGTAGTGGTTTGCCCAGATGTAACAGTATCTATAGGATGTAGGTGTTAGGCCGCTACATGTCTACCTCTGTTGGCGTCTCCCGAGTGCAGCACGGTTCGGCTGGCCAGATCTTGAACTATACAGCTGCTATGCTCCTGTGTGCAGGTCAAGATTATAGGCTTCGACGCTCAGTGCACGTAGGCGAATTGCTGACCGTCGGATTTCGTCATGCGTGTGGACTCTTGGGCAATGTGGCCTGCCGACATTGACACCAGGAGCAGTGGTCGTCCGCACGCTCTCTGTATGGCCAACTACTTTGCCTAGGCAAAGTCTCAGCACCGAATATGGAGAAGGGAGGTTACTGTGCTTGTTGTTTGAATGAGGACCGGAGAACCATGACTCGAGCAGTTCGTGGCTTACACGGCTGTCGCCCCTGCGGAGAATTTCTCCTCCATCAAATTTGAATGTGTGGTTGGGTCTCGTAGAATGAGTCGTGACTTGGGAATTGCCGTTGTTCCTCCTCACTGCTGCTGCGTGCTCGGCCATCCGCGTTACGAATAGTCTTCCAGTTCCTCCAACGTAGTTGCTTTTCCCACAACTTCACCAGACCCAATAAGCGATCGCGGATGTTTCCTGCCGTGGCAGTGGGTCTTTCGGCCTCATGATCTGGCGCCCGATACTTTCCTCCGGTCAGTGTACCGTGTCAATTTTAATTGCTGAAAAATAGTAGATGCCAAAGCTGTTCTTGCTTAGAACACTGGAGATTTTATAGTTGTTTCTGTTACTTAAGTTATGCTTTTGTTCTAAGTATGATCTCGGCAGTTAGTTGGAGAGGTGTGAGGTATAAATTTCAATTTCAGTTTGACTCGCAGAGTTCTATTGAACTTCTTTGCATGATGACGATCTTGACGAAACCCTTTTAGGTCCGTCGACTTAAATAGGTCTCTAGTAAACGGAAAGGTTCTTTCCTCGCAACGACACATTTCGGGTCTTGCATAACTGTTTTGGAAAATATCTTTTCGGCGAATCTTCTCGTAGCTGACATTACGTGAGTGTGACTCCAGTCCAGGGTACAGCTACCTCGAGGTGTCAAGTGGTTCGCGCAGATATCATGTCATCTTTAGTACTTTGTTTCAGAAGGATGGGGCGAAATAAGTATCCGTTTCGCGGTCCTATAGCTGTACATAAAATGAGAGGGGTCAATTTTTGTGTAAATATTTCGACATTCTAAGCTCGTAATTTTCTTTCTAAGGGTACACAAGGTAGAGCGCCCTTTGTTCCCATGTCAGTCACAGTCCGATTGGCAAGCCTACAGTTCCAGATTCGCGACTGGACACGTAATAAAGCACATTTGTGAGGAAATGACAATCGTCGTACCAACAATCTGAGTGGTGACCTTGTGCTTTTGACATTCTCGAAATAGTAACTTCTCATTTCCACGCAAGGAACAATAAAGCCCAATGGTCTGTACGACTGCATTCACTACAAACCTCCGGTCAAAATCTCAATTCCAAACCGAAGTTAGCAGCACGGCCTTATTGCGACAGCGTAAAGGAGCTGATGACGACCCATTCCCCCCCCCCTTCCCGCAACTCACAGATGACACCGCCTGGTAGGTTTTCCGCAGCAGTTAAGGTCATCAGCAAACCTCATCCACTACGACCCTCAGGCTAGGTCGCAGGCATGAAGAGAAGGCAGATGTCAGTAGAAAGGGTACCGCATTTTGTGCAGAATGGGTGAAGAATAGGCAGACTGACAGTCATGTGCGAGGTACGTGTCCCAGTGTTCTGAGTGAGGACATGTCCGTCTTGAGATTCGAAACTGAACGGCCGGTTTAGATGGCCGTGGTTGACCGGACACCAGACAGAGCCCCTCGGTTTCAGTGATTGGCCAAAGGCAAAGACAGAATCATGCAGTGTCTTTGAATCTCACACCTTCAAACTGCCGTTGGCTCATACGGGTAGACATTGGTCAGACTCTAAACTGGCCTTTCTAGTTGCATACTCATTCTTGTCCGGCGAGCAGAGGTCACTATCATGAGGTGGGGACCACATTTCCCGGAGAGGACGAGAGAGAGAGAGTAAGTCTTGAAGAAGGAGACACGATTGCTGGGACAAGAGCTTTATTAGCCTGACGTTTCGGATTCCTTCTCGAACCCATCATCAGAGACAAAAGCAGATAAGGGTCTAAGTGGTTCGATAAAAGAGGGTAGGCATCCACAAACCTTCTCACGGCGATTGTCTACTATCATTCAATCTTAACTCTGTACCTTGCAACGTTTATATACGCACTATGTAAACGCTGAACACCCCACTTCACAATCAAAACCATCTGAAATTCTGAGAAATGGGATCCTTCTCGCTTTATTAGCATCGAGACGTGTTTTTGGAATAGATCCATGCAACGCTGAGCTCGATTGGAATTTAAATTCTAGTCGGTCATTGTTCAATCAGGGGACGTTTCTTCTACCTCATGAATTGCTAGTCATAGACAATCGCGCCAGGGTTAACTGAAGACCAGGGATCATCGTAAGCTAGCTCCTCTTTGACTAAAACGAAAACGATCGGTTCTGACATAAAACAGGCGATTAAACCGATCGCACAAGCTGTGTACTCTTTTTTTAAAACAGTATGCAACCGAATGTGAATATTCTTCCCCGTCACGGCAAATGACGGGAGGGAGATTCATTTGAATCACACGCTCAAACTCGGATGTCTTGTAATCTTTCTTTTTTAAGAGAGCCATGCCAGTGCTTCTAACAACCCCATTGTATTTCCTACTAGTTTTCTACTGTTTTGCTATTGAATTTAAAATTCTTGTCTAGGCTCATCTTGCCTTCTTAATCTTTCCAGCTACGGAACCCAGTAGGTTTCTACTTTTCAAACTTTCCGGTTGACCTTTGGATAGTCTAGGAGGATGTGGACTTTCAAGGTTACCAGGACCAGTGAGATCACTCTGGTGGGAGGGGATGAGAATGAGAATCAGACGATTGGAGAAATACACCGAATGTAACCCCAGATTGCTCAAGCTAACGACCAGCGCCGTATTGAGTATGAAAGATAGCGAAGTTCTTCCCCTCCCCCACACTGACAGCGCTGAAGGGGCCGTAATAGGGAGGCAGGTGTGGTGACCTGCCGTGAGAAAATGTCAATCCCATCCTCTCTTCCCCCTCTCGCTCTCTCTCTTTCAGTCAACAATCTGAACTTGTCAGCCATCTGATGTTTGGACTGGGCGTAATGGCTGACACGGCGTGGAGTCAACGCCTAGATCTGCAGAAGTTATGGTATGCACAAACCCTGCGCAGCGTGATTAACGCGTCCCCGTTTTGGCCCAGCGAACCAACAGAGAGGCCACAAACCGTTGAAATAATGGACTGTTGGTAAAGAGATGTGGACGCTCGCGAAGTGTGCGTCATTCGAAAGAAAGGTACAGATCGGAGCTCTGTTGCGCCGTTCGACTAAAGTCCTCCGGCAGGTCAAGCACGACCAAGTCCATTGGTGAATATCGGTGTTCATGCTAGATCAGACCGAACTGTCACTGCTAGGCATTGGTAGAATAATGTGCCATATTGACAAAGACTGTTCCATGGGGTGAGGACGTCCAGGCGGAACTCGTCTAGGAGGGGTCGGGGGGAGGCTACACAAGGCGCCAGACAAGGCCATAATGGAGGTGGTGGACAGAGACATGGCCTTTGTCTCGAAATCATTGTGATTAAGTTGTTCACAAAAATCCCGCTGATGTTGCAGTTCGACGATGCGTCCCCAAGCCGATGGGAGATCGTGAACGACAAAGCCCGTTGTTGCTTAGAAACTCCCTTAGAAGGCAAATGTCCATGATGCATTAGGAAGTAATATCAACATAAAGAGCCTCTTGGAACGCGTGGTTATCAGAAGGAATGGAAAAGACATGAGTGAGAGGTTTGTGGTCAGTGCATAAGCAACAATCTCTGCGGTAAGATGTGACTATGTAGCCCCACCTGATGGACACAATACTGTTGGGGTTGGGGCTAGGGGTTAGGTATAGGGGTTAGTGTTAGGTGTTAAGATTGGAGGGTAGGGTTAGGGTTTAACGTTTTCTCAACTACACAAAGTACAAGCACGCGTTCGCAATTGCCATTATTTTGCATACAACTACTTGTCCTCGTCGCCTACGCGTTTCCTGGCCCCAACTGTAAAAACGCCCATGACCACCGGTCCCAGTATTACAGGTGGGTGGGGTTTGTTTACTTAAAGTGGAGCTACATTATCGCATCTAACCATCTCTGCCTTTTACAAAGCTGAGAAAATGCAAACTGACGAGATATAAAGCAAGCTGATGCGACCAAAAAGGCCATCGCAAGCTTCCGGGGATGTACATCAACTTGGTAGGATGAAAGACGAATGATTGGGTGCCTTTTGGGCCTGTTAGTTGCTCCTATGCCGGACTTGAGATGCCAGCAAGAATGGATGGCAGGGCATCATTCAGAAGCTGCAGTGAGCAACTGTATTCTCAAGGGTGTCTTTGACGCCCGAAGGGTCTCTACAGGTGTGTTAGGAAGAGTGCATTCACGGTTTTTGCTCAAGGAGTCACTTCATAAATCAACGAGCACAAACCATCTGTTCGAAAATGAAAAGCGGTTTCGTGGTCATAACAGAGACCTTACTTACTTTACTTGTACTTGATACGGCTGCGATCATGCCTGATCTAGCCGGCCTCGATGATGTCCCGAATTGTACCTCTCCACGCGTGACGATCCGCGGCAGCAGATCTAGACAGCTCAACCCATTCCTTTCGCCAACGACGGAGACCGAATACCGAAGGTCCAAGAACCACCTCCATTTCTTGACGGACAGTGTCGAGCCAGGTTTTGAACTGACCCCCTCTTCGACGCCTCCAATGGGGCAACGGCGCCGGATCGAGGGCAGTAACACTGAGCTCCTGAGGTGGACGACGAAGAACATGCCCGAACCACCTCAGTCGTCTTTTTTGGATGGCCTGAGTTATCCTCGCGATGTTGTCGCAGCGAGCGCGGACTATCTCATTTGAGACGAAGTCGGTTAACTTCACTCGAAGGATGATCCTCAAGCAGTGGTGGTCAAATACCTCCAGTTTTCGCTCATCCGCCACGCGCAAAGCCCAGCATTCACAACCGTAGAGAAGGACAGACCGGACAGATGCACGGTACACGCGAATCTTAGTGGCGATGGAGAGGTCACGTCGGTTCCCCAGGCATTTCCGAAGGCTTGAAAAAACCCAGCGGGCAGCATCGATTCGGGAGACGGTGTCGTCCTTACTCTGTCCATTAGGCAGCAGCCGCGCCCCGAGGTATTTAAAACCGTCCACTTCTTCAAGTTGACAGCCATCAATTCCCAGGGCGGCCTTCACCTGGTCAGGGATGCAGCTTGAGAATACTTTGGTCTTCCCAGCGTTTATGGACAAACCGACTGATTTAGCGACTTCGTTCACTCGTGACACCATAGACTGCAGATCACCAAAACTTGAAGCAAGTAAGGCGATATCATCGGCATAGTCGAGATCAGTCAGTCGATGTCCGGGTGCAAATTCAACACCGTCACTGTCGCGTAGGGCCCTCCCGAGGATCCAGTCAATAGCGTAGTTGAACAGTATGGGTGACAGGATACAACCCTGTCGGACGCCAGACCGAATACCGAACGGTTGGGAAAAATTGTTACGGACCAGGACTCTCGCAGTAGTGGAACGATAGTAGGCCTTGATCGTGGCGATGATTTTTGCCGGTACACCATCTAGCGCCATTATCCGCCACAGGGACTCACGATGAACGGAATCGAACGCGGCGGCAAAGTCAACGAAGCAGACGGCCGTCGGTTGTTGGTAGCTATGGCGAAATTCGAGAATGCGCCTCAGTGTGAATATCTGATCTGCGCATCCACGTCCAGAACGAAATCCGGCTTGGTTGGACCTCGTTCTTGAGTCACGCACAGCCTGGAATCGTCTGAGTAGGACAATAGCGAAGATCTTCGCAGCAACGTCGATGAGACTTATGCCGCGGTAGTTCTCGCATCTCGTCTTATCTCCCTTCTTGAGGATAGGTACAAGGATGCCTAAGCCCCAGTCATCAGGAACAACCTCGTCTCTCCACGCTCGTTCAATCACCTCATGGAGCCAGGGCGCCAGAGTTTCGACACAGGACTTACAGATTTCAGCGGGTATACCGTCCTCTCCGGGTGTCTTATTGTTGCGCAACTTTCGTATGGCATCGTCGACTTCTTCCTCGGAGGGGGGATCGCATGGCACTGCATAGGTAGGAGAGGGAAGAAACTCCGCTGAGGAGGAGAACAAGGGCGATGTAGGTTGGGTATCGAAGTTGAGATGGTGCTCAAAGTGCTCACGCCAGCGCTCGACTTTGGCCGAGTTGTCAGCAATAAAGCCGCCGTTCACATCGCGAACAGAGTCACTCAGTGTAGAGGGCTTACCGCTAACTTGGCGGATCAGACGATAGACCTGGCCAAAAGCCGAAATCGCGCATACCGATATTTCAACAAAAGTATAACAGCAGTCTCGCCGGAATTTTTAGCAGGAGCAGGATAATGAGGTAATCATATGTGCGAGGTCGGGAATCTTAGCAGCCGAATGAATGCACGCCCCCTGCCTTGGATATGAATCTGTCGTAGTAAATATAAAGAGGAGCAACTCTCCGCTCCAAAAGGTTTTGACGGCTTACAGGTCCCAACACCGGAAAAGTCCGGTTTATGAGTCTCTCCCTATTTGGTCAAGGAAATGGTCAGTTATCAAGAATTTTTTATTGCCAGAAACTTCAACGCACCTGGAATCGACTGGGTTAATCTGACAGACGGCATTTCGTCCAGTTCCTTCGGTCAAGGACTTCTGAACTTCTTGATTTTTTAATTACACAAAGTGAAAAGACACCAACGAGATGAAAGGTGAACCAAGGATTCATTTACTTTGATTTAGTGTTCACGAACAACTTCTTCAGCACTGATGAAGACCATTTCAGCGCAACTCCTGGAAAGTAACCATACCAGGCTCCCGTGGGATTATTCACCCTATCCTCGGCCTCAGCAGATAAGGGAAGGCCAGTGAGACATTTGGGGCAGTACTCAAAAGGGTTAGAGGTTACCCGATTCTGTGAAATGTGCTGATTTGCTTACTAGGGACCTGTAGGAAAACTAGGTACTTTTGAAAGCGGTCTCAACAGATCTGCTCAGTTGCTGTTGTCCAATGAATATATCAAAAACGATTGGTCGCCTGCATAGTTAATATGAGACCTAAGAGAGAGGTGAGATGGAAAAATGGAATTTAGAAAAAGCAGTCATGGAAGCAGGTTCACGGCGAAATCTGGAGGACTTTAGTAGTCAACGAAATTACATAATCACAAGGAGTCATCGGACAACTAGAAACAAAGAATACAAAATTTATCAGCATTCGTAAAACAAGCTCAAAATTTCATTTTATAACATTAATGCTCTATTAGAAACAGAAACCCAGTCTCAGTAGTTACAGTAGGTGTGCTAACTCATGAAACGTCAACCGAAATTCTGAAATGCGCTTTCGATTCGAAAAGATTACTTAAGTAGGGCTGTATAACTAATCAGCTTGCAGCATAATTCTATAATAATTCAGTTGCCTTGGAATGACGACTTTCGAAAGAACTTCTTGCGAAAAATAATTATTATCGTGCAGCATTATCTCAAAATTCTTCAGTTTTTTCGGGATGCCGGTTTCTAAATAAACTTCTTCCTGGCTGCCTGCAAAAACTACACTCTGTAAAAAAAATTACCGTTAAAGTAGTGAGATTTTTCATTGATTTTTGATGTTCTAATTGATTTAAATATATTTTTTTAGAAAACATGCACGAAAGTATTCATTCTTTTCTTCACTTGGTAGGAAACTACGTGTTCTTTAGATTTTATACTTGATGGAGGAGTGTGATTCGGTTTTAAAAAGGTTCTAATTATGAGGTTTTGTAAGACCGTTAAGTGCCTGTTCACAAAACATCGTGTCTCGCCTTTTTGCTAATGTTGCTTGTAAAGTTTACAATATGGCTCAACTCCATTGCTAAATTTTATGAACCCCACATGGTCTTCTCTTGAGAGCGTAAATGAATGTAGGATTTTCCGTGCACTGAAAATATAGAGCTATAGTTTGGAAACCCTGAATGCAAGTGTGGCGGCATGTCGGGTTCAGAATTATTCGAGAGTTGAAAAAGTTTTTTAAAATCAAGTTATACCCTTTTTAGCGTTAAGTTTGAAGAAGACGTAATTTCCTACCAAATCAATGGAAGAATAGATGTTTTCATGCATGTTTTCTATGAAATATATTTGAGTAAATAAGGGCATCGAAAATCAATGAAATAATACCCACTAACTAAGCAGGTGGCTGAAAAGCCTGCATCCTGAAGTAACTGAAATATTCTGGGATTATACTTTAGGAAAATTCATATTACAACACTACTTATGTAATCTTTTCGACTCGAAGGCGCATGTCAGAATTTCGGTCAACATTTCCTGATCTAGCATACCTACTGTAAATACGGTGATGACATGTAGATAATCGAAAGTGATGAAAAGCCAGAACGCTTCGGCCAAATTCGTTTCCGTATTCGCTAAAGACACGAACTTTAATATTCTCACCAGTCCTGTTACAAATATCAACCGAGTGCTCGACACTACTCTTCACAGAGACCGACAGTGCGCTGGATTGTTTGAATGAGGCTTATCCACATGGCCCGGACAGCATACGCGCAAAGTTCCTAAAAATATTTAAAATTGAACTCTCCACTCTAAATTTGAACTTCAGATATCAAGTTGATATACAGGAGTGGAACCCTAACGAGCGTCAATAATCACAACTCTGTCAGTCCAACCTACCTTTGCAGTAAAACACTGAAGCGCCTACTTAAGTAATCGGTCATTAAGTTCCTCGTGTAGGGAAAACTGCACTCGGGACTTCAACGCCGCCTAAGACGGAACCTTTCGTGCTTTTTAAAGTCGCTGGTTTCGGCTGAACAGTGGATTTGTGCACCGGAGGATGGAGGGGGAGGAGGGGAGGTAAAGGAAGAGGAAGGGAAGGGGAAGGATGAGACGTGCGAAGGTTTTTTAAATTGGGATAAGAGGCAAGTTTTTGAGCTAGTTCCCGAAATTCCTTGCAAGAAGATCCTAAAGCGCATGCTTGGTGCCTCGAAGTCAACAGCAGCACTTCTAAATGGTGATCCCTAGACTCTGTCCTTCTATCATTACTCTTCCTAGCCCACATCAAAGACACTTTCTTTAACCTAGGTTTCAGCACAATTATGTTGGCCGAGGATGTTAAAACCTAGATAGCCATCAGGTCTGATGCGCATATGCGCACACTGCCTAAACTCGGTTAGTAGCTGACGTGATTATTAGCCCCTTAGTTTATATGCCGCTTTCTAAGGTCGCCTTATAATCTGCCTTGTCCGTTCACATCTCTAGGGGTTTAATTTTCCTCGTTACAGACTCTCCTCAGAAATCGATTTTTTTAGTCCAAGAATGATGACCTTCACGAAACACAATGTCCTCCCCATACCACCATCTGACAAACCGTTCTGAATACGTGACGCACACCTGCCAGGTCTCATCAGGATTCTCCTCTGGTAACTGTGACCTCATGGCCTCATCACTACTCGTCAGTCCCACCCCAGATCTACCGCAAACCAACACCGCATGCGTACTAATTCTGTCGCTCTGAGCAGTTGACATTCAACAAAGCCGCCCGGGTTCATAGCCGATAAGGCAGACGGTGCTCAAATCCACTGCTTAATTTTATGAGCCTCATATGGTCTCCTCTTAACACCGTAGAGAAGTGCATGCAATATTGTTAACTTTACAAGCCACATTCGTAAATGCAGATACATGACGTTTCATGAATGGCCATTTAACGGTATTAAAAAATCTCCCAATTGGAAACTTTTTTAAAACCGAATTATACTCTTCTTTTGAGTATGAACTTGAAAGAAGACGTGATTTTCTGTCGAACAAGTAAACGAATGAACACTTTTATGCATTTTTTCCATGAAATATAATTGAGTTTTCAAGGGCATCGAAAATCAATGAGAAAATTGCATACTACTTAAGTAGTCATTTTTGCAGAGTATAGGTCTTGCATGCAGCCGAAAATAAGTTCTTTCGAAAGCCGACACCCTGAGTTAACTGGATCATTATAGATTTATGCTGCATCATGATTAGTTTTACAACACTACTTAATTTATCTTTTCGAAACGAGAGCGCATTTCGAAATTTTGGTTGACATTTCATGAGTTAGCACATCTACTGTATATAACTCATTTTGAAGATCTTGTAATACATTTGGTTACTCGTGCCGAAATCGAAGTGAATATTACTGTACTTATTTTCGCCATTAAACCAGCCTCTGCTTTGTACTGCGGGCAGCAAATGCTTGGCCCTAAGGTCCCCTGCTGAATGCCCCAACGAAGAAGGTCATTCTTTTCAATGCCTTTTCGGTGGACAAGCCCTTCTAAACATTGAAGAAGGGAAGGACTTCCTGTTTGATTGTTTAGTTTGAACCAGTGTCACGGTGTTTCGAAGCGACTAAAAAAGCGAAACAGATGCTATTCTTCAGCTGTTCGTTAAGAATTATGGGACGTTCGATAGGCCTCGCCTGGAGTAAACCATGCAGGCCGACTATGACTGTCGGCTGCTCAAACGAGTCCAGGCAGTGGCTACGAAGACGGTGAAAGTTTTGGCGCGCTTTCATCCGAAGTAATGCTGATTGAAGTTAACTGATTTTTCCTATATTACAGGAGTTTTTGCAATGACCTCACCTGACTATGAGGGGCCGTGGGTACGTCCCACAGTTCGAAGGCTATTTTTAGTTGATTGAAACGAACGGCCTGCATGATTACCCCTTTGAGCCGCAGGGGAATTTGAACCATGCGTACATATGACGGAATGCTTTGCCACAGAGGGTTGTTGGAGCGAGAAGCAGACTCCCCACTAATGTGGTATATGCGAACGCTGTCGGCATATTTAAATGTAAATTTTGTGCTCATCGTCTCAGATACTATTCCATACAGGCAACATTACATCAATCAGTTAATCTGTGTATTTGGAGTAGATGACAGAAGTCTTTGAAAACTCCATTTAAGCAACGCAGGTCCTCATGAAAAGTAGTTAAGTTTCAAAAACGTACAGGTAATTTTAGTATGCGAAACGCATAAGACTGATAGGGATACGAGAATTTTAGAATCATGAATAATCCGCGTAATAACCGTGCACAGCACATTCATCGCATTTGCGCAATATGTCCAGCAGTGCCAAAGTCAATGCAAACAAAATTAGTTATTGACCTCAAGTAAGTAGCATGTTGCTAGTCATAACGGAAATTCATTCTATGGGGTTAGGAGAGTTCTGACTGACTTCTGACACATGAGTATCCAGACGCAATTAAAAAAACATACGGCAAGGAAATACACGACGTACGTTGGCAAAGAATTCCATTGACGAATGACTCTCTCCGAGAAAAAAGGAGGCGATAAATATTCCGACACAGCCCCTTCTTAATTGGCAACCGCGCCGTCTGAGATTCGCCCTCAGTGTCATTTCGAAAACATTTTCTCAGTCCAGAGCAAGATCAAGTCCCCTTAAAAACTGAAACATTGTTCTTAGGTCACATCTGCCCAGCCTAGGGGGGAGGGGGTAGAGGTTTAAGGCGGCCAGGCGCTGCTGTTCCGTCCAATTTCTGGGTTCAGGAACAACCTTTTTATCACGTATCCGTTTCCGTTTATTTAGTTTTAATTTATTTGATAAGGATAATAGCCCTTTCAGCACCAGCCCCGCCTAACCCTTTCAAAAATGGCGGAGTTAGAGGAGGCTATGAAGGGGCTTGATGGGGCTGTGGTAGGGGTTGTTTCGGGACATTCAACGCGACATTCCGGCCTGGCCCCGCATTTCCGCCCACTTTTGGCACCCCTTTAAAATCTCGACCTGTGTGGTGAGTCCCCTGAGGCGCACACACACATAATACCTACCGGCAGAAGTTTAAGAGTTCAGTATAGGCATTTCTCGTTCGAGGGATTGATTGCCAACTGCTGTCGACGTTGAGGGAACCTCAGACTCTGGCTCTTCAGTGGCCTCATAATATGCCTTCATCTGGCACTTAATGCGCTTGTTATGGTGATTTGGTAATAGCCGCAGTAATTACGATTCATAATTGCTTTGGATATTCAGTAAAAAACGATAAACAATTTGTATATGTATAACACCATGGCTAAATAGTACATACACAGGCATACAAGTCGACTACTTGAACTGGCCGGTGAGTAAATACCAAAACAATTAGCATAAGATATATAAATTAACTTAGGCAGTGATCAGGAGCATGAAAACAGCATTGGTTAACGCACGATATTATCCGCGACCCATGGGCGTAAACGAATGCTTTTCCCATGATTCATAATCCACTTTTGATAAATAAGCTCCTTTTACTGCCAAAGAAAGTACAATGAGTGGTGCCTTTGAAACGTAACTTTCGATGGGCTCCGACCCCACCCAGCCCCTTGCCAGCCCCATCTATAAAGGGGCCATATGCTGGCAGGGAGGCAAGGCTTTTGAAAACCTTATAGTTTACAGAGCAGTTCGTAAGATCCAACTGCACGCGGACAATGAAAATCGTCCATATTAAAGTACTACTTATGTGGCTTAAGTAGTGTTATTTTGAAGAACAGATTATGGGGTTAGCGGAGTTTTTAGCTCATATTCAGACTGTCGAGGGAAAAAGGGACACAAATAATCATCTGAACGCTACTTGGAGAGCTGAAGGGATCCAACCTCCACGATTGATTGAGGGAGACTATTCTATTCCTCCACCACTCGTTCTGTAAAAAAAAATTCAGAGTGAAGGTTGAGCCCGGACATTTTGGGCGTAGCTTCATTGAGTGCCCACGAAGATTGGGCGAAAGGTGCCCCTGAAACATGCCGTCAAGGCTCTGTCCATGCTCAGGGCCATGCATTATTTTGTAAACTAGGATAAGATCACCTCTTTGCTGTCTGTAACACATAGGGAATAAATTAAGGCAGCTCAGTCTTTCTGTGTAGGATTGGTTTCTTAAATCCTTTACCAGCACGACGTTGTACTTTCTCGAGACATGCTTGGTCTTTTGTTAACCATGGCCGCCACGCTTGTATATCATATTCTAGATTAGGCCGAACAAAGGGACCGCAAACTCTCCCAAAAAGGTCGTTTTCAAAGGTTACAAACACCCTTTTGATCGCATGGAGTACTCCCACAGTGTTTTTTTGCAGCCTTGGTGCACTGTACTGCTGGTTTCATGTTGCTCTGTGTCCAAACACCCAGATCGTTCTTTGAAGATTACGCGGGAAGAATAACGTCTTTCAGGTGATTCGTTCCATGCTGTCACTTTAATGAGAGTTGGTTGGACGCAGATGAAGGACGGCACACTTCTGCACGTTGAAATCTTGGAGCCGTTTATCGGACCACACTCGCGATCGGTGCAGATTATCCTGAAGTGCTCTGTGGTCATTCGGGTCCTTAATGACATGCCAGAGCCTAACGTCGACGTCAACTACTATTTTATCGCAATTGAGTTCCTGAACTTATCTATCTATCTAACAATTGTTTATTAAAGACCCGTCGGGGTCCCATCAAAGCAAGTAAAAATAAATTTACATGCGAATTATAGACGATGTAGGCAAAATCTGTACAAAGTGCAATTCATAGTTTTTGAAATTGCAGTCCGTTAAGAAAAATGGTTAGCGAGGGGTGAAAAAAAACTCCACAAAAAATTTAAAAATGATTGGATAAATTTTACAGGAGGAGAAACCCCTCGATAATAAAGCAATAACAGAAAAATGTGGGCAGGACTGGCCTGCATGTGGCGTTATAGAATGGATTATAGTCGGACATCGTCAGGACCGAAATAAATGTCATTGTATAACGGATTTCATGAAGGGGTAAGTAGGTGGGTCAGTCAGGGCTGGCCCGTATGTGGCCTTGAATAAGGCAAATAAGTGGCGAAACTGAAAACCAGTCTCGATGCAATAGGAACCCAGATGCGGTCGGTTACATTCATCCGAGTCCATCCGAGGATGGGGCAAGGGAGATGCGACCAGACTACTAGTACATGGCGAATACAGAAGGTTTCGCCAAGAGCGTCGATGGGGCGCATTCTGTGAGGGCACGATGAATGAACTGAAAAAAAATTGGAAAAATTAACATTTCTGGTGAGGCATCTTATGAAGCGAGACTACTCACAAATGAAGGAAATGTGAACAGATGCGGAAAGTTAATGGCGGCGTCCTAAATTCCCGGTGGCCCTTTCTCAGTGTCATAGAAAAAGTTGTCTGGGAAGGATGAGGAAAATAAAAGTTTAATCGAGTCAGCATTCAGATAAAGGCGTAGCCTTCTCTTAAAGGTGTGTAGATTATCTGAAGATCTTATATTTATTGGAAGGCTATTCCAGAGAAAAGTATATCTGGAAGCGAAAAAAAAGGGAGCGCTTAGAGGTGGAGGACGCTGGAGGAGGTATAATCAAGGACGAGTTGCGAAGATTGTATGGACGACCACTAGGGGTGAGTGCTGAAATCCGAGGAAAATTGGAACTATTATTAATGCGAAAGAGCAGACAGAAGCCCGCTTGTAGTCTTCGAACCCATAAAAATTTTAGGTTAATTAGCTGGCATCTATCTGAGTAGGAGATATTGGGATGTTCCCTATTTAAAAGTTTTTTAGAAAAACGCCTTTGGACATTTTCAATTTTTAAACGACTGGCTTCATTCATCAAACCAAAGATTTGGCAACAATACTCGCGAATGGGAAGGACAAACATACGATAGAGCCTTAATTTAATTTCAGGAAGATAGAAATTGTAAGAAATAAAGCCACAAATCTGGGCAGCTTTGGCTGTAATTCTATCAGCGTGTGGCGGGAGATCGAGATTACTAGTTTAGCTTAAACCTAAATCCTTTATGGTGGTGCATTCAGTCATAGGTGTACCTTGAAAGACCACTGGTTGGGGTAGTCTGTCAGGTCCAAAACACATATAGCGACATTTAGACGGAGAGAATTCCATTAGCCATTTTGACCTCCAAGCTGAAAGAGCAAGCAAGTCAGAATGGATTTGCTTCAGGCAATGAAGACTCGTAGATTTTTTGAAAGAATATACACATTTGAGATCATCGGCACAAAAAAATGATTTAGAATGCTTAACTGCTGCCGAACTATCATTTATGTAAAGCAAGAACAAAAAAGGACCTAAAACGGGGCCTTGTAGGACACCACTTACAATAGGGCTTTCACTGGAAAATGAAGATCCCACCAAAACCTTTTGTTTACGATTAGATAGTTATGACTTGATAAAGTCTATTAATGTATTGCGAATTTAAGGTAGCTTCTAATTTAACCAAGAGTCTTTTATGTGGTACATTATCAAAGGCTTTACTAAGATCAAAATAAATAACGACAACAGATAGATGGTCATTACGAAGAGAGGTAAGTAGATTGAGAAACGACAGATGACATATTTTACAAGAGCGATCTGGTAAAAAAACATGCTGGGAAGGGCTAATAACTTGAGTGGCTATGCAAAAGTCGGTAATTTTTACGGCGATAATTTTTTCAAAGATTTTGGCGAGAGATAGTGTTTTATGGACACCTCTACATTTCTGTACGTCAAATTGACAGCCAGACTTAAATACTGGAATAATAATAGAAGTTTGTCAATAGTCAGAGAAGAAGCCATTTGCGAGAAATACTGAAAAGATTTTGCTAAGCAGAGGAGGAAAATCTCTTAGCTGTTTAATAAGAGAGTTTGGGATATTGTTTGTGCCTACTGAGTGACAGTTAGGAAGATGGTTTATCAGTTTTTGAATAGTTGTTCAGTTTATTTGGTAAGGATAATAGGCAAAGCCTTTGAAAACACTATTGATTACATGTCAGCTCGTTAGAAATAACTATACACGAACAAAAAATATTCACTATTAAAACCGTACTTGGTTCATTTTAGTAGCATTGTCTCAGAGAAAATGTTTGTAGGGACCAGGGGTATTAGTTCAGATTCAGACCGTCGAGGGATAGCAGGGGACACAAATAATCATCCAAGCGTTTCTTGAAGAGTTGCAGGGATGTAGCCTCCACGACTGACTGAGGGAGACCGTTCCATTTCTCCACTACCCTCTGCGTGAAAAATTCAGAACGAAGATTCAGCCTGGACATTGTTGTCCGTAACTTCATCGAGTGACCACGAAGATTGGGTGAAAGGTGCCACTGAAACTTGTCCTCAAATTTAAGTCCATACTCAAGGCCATGTATTATCTTGTAGACGAGGATAAGACCACCTCTTTGCTGCCTGTAACACAGAGGGAATAAATTAAGGCAATTCATTCTGTCTGTATAGGATTGGCTTTTTAGACCGTTTACCAGCTTTGTTGCACGCCGTTGTACCCGTTCGAGGCATCTTTGGTCCTTTACCAGCCATGGCCGCCATGCTTGTATGCCATATTCTAAGTGGGGCCGAACAAATGGGCCGTAAACTCTCCCAAAAAGGTATTGGTCAAAATTTACGAAAGCCCTTTTTATTGCATGCAGCACTCCCATGGCGTTTTTTGCAGCCTTGTGGCACTGCAGTGTTGGTTTCAGGTTGTTCTGTATCCAAACCCCGAGATCCTTCTGTGAAGATTCTGCGGGGAGCCTTATATCTTTCAGGTGATAAGTCCTCAGACTCTCATGTGAATGAGAGTTGGTTGGACGCAGATGAAGGATGGCACACTTCTCCACATTGAAATCTAGAAGCCATTTCTTCGACCAAGCTTGCAGTCGGTGCAGATAATCTTGAAGGGATCTCTGATCATTCGGACCCTTAATGACTTGCCAGAGCTTAACGTCGTCTGCAAACATTATTTTGCCGCAGTCGAGTTCCTGAAGGCTGTCGTTAACGTAAAGGATGAAGAGCAATGGTCCCAGAATTGAGCCTTGCGGCACACCACTGGTCACGTTCACCCATTCTGACATATCATCCCCGATACAGACACGTTGTTTCCGACCAACCAGAAACGCCCTAATCCAGTTCAGAAGATCTCCCCGGATGCCGATGTCGCTCAATTTGTGAATAAGACGTTGGTGTGGGACAGTGTCAAAAGCTTTGCGGAAATCGATGTACACGACATCGACCTCAAAACCCTGTTCTAGAGCCCTGGTCCAGATTTCCAGGCAAGCTAGCAGATTTGAGAGGCAGGAACGTCCTCTCCGGAAGCCGTGTTGAAAATCCTGCAAGATGTTATTTTCTTCACAAAATCGCTGTATAGCGTTCTTTACTATAGCTTCCATCGTTTTGCAAGGGAGGCAAGTTAAGCTAATAGGTCGAAAGCTGCTTGCTGTCATCCTGCGACCTCCCTTATGCAATGGAACGAGGTTAGCTGTCTTCCACTGTGAGGGCAGCCTTCCTGTTCTCATTGACAGCTCAAAGAGAGTCCAAAGAGGCTTTGACAGCTCCCTTGATAGCTCCTTAAGTATCAGCCCGGGAATTCCGTCGGGTCCAGGAGACTTATCAGGTTTTATTTGACTGAGGACTCGTCTGACTTCTTCAACGGAAAAGGCGACGGTTTTAATGACGGCAATATTTTGGCGCATTTGAAACTCCCGGCTGTCTCTGTCCATTGCAAACTGCTGATTGTCTTCTAGGGACTCTTCTGTAAAAACCGATTGAAAAAACTGAGACAGTAATCGCACTTTCTGTGACCCTTCAACTAATAAGTTTCCGAGGCTATCCTTTAGACACGCAATTTCGTCCCTATGTTTCCTCCTACTGCGGATGTACCCGTAAAACTTCTTGGGACATGTAATGGATTCTGCTATCAGTCGACGCTCGAAAGAAGTTCTAGCAACCCGTATTTCTTTGCGGCATTTATTGCGCTGATCCTTATATTCGGCGAGTGACCTTGGATCTCGAAGTTGCAAATACTTTTTCCAGAGTCTCTGTTTCTTCTTCATGGTCTTTTTGTCGTCGGATTGACCCACGGCGGTCGCATACATGGTCTTGTCATTTTTATTGGACAATGGGAATCAATCAGACGCTCTATAATCCCGCGAAAGTACTGCCAAAATTCGTCTGAATCTTCTGTGTTGACCAACCAGGAGAAAAATTAATGACACTGAGAGAGGCATCAGACAACGGAAGAATTAAAGGGTTTGGGTCAGTTTCGATGGTGAAATGTTTGGCAAAGAAAGAATTTAACATTTCTGCTTTGCCTGTCTCCTCTGTAATGAAGGCATCGTTGGTACTAAGCAAAGGCGGAATGACTTGTTGAAACTTAGCAGATGATCTTTGACGGAAGATCTGAATAACTGATTTAGAAGCATTTAATTCATTAAAAGCTAAAGGCTGTCATTAACATAGAGGACGATGAGAAAGTGTCCGAGAACTGAAGGCCACTTGTATTTGGTAAGCTTCCCGATACATGAAAGCGACCAAATGCCGCACCCCTCCTTAAAGGAGGATCACGGCCATGTCTCGGCAATTTCTGGTCGATTAACTTAATGCATATCGCCTGTGGCTGTCGGAGAGGATAGTTAGGAAATCACTTATATCGCTTGATAAATTATGCTGTCAAATCGGCCCAGCTCATTATGGTTTACTGCCTTACAAATACTACAAAGTTCAAAGCAGGTGGGTAACTGACATCCAGTTGATGTCGTTTACGCTGACGCCAGCAAGGCCTTTGATTGCGTTTCCTAGAAACGCCTCTCCAAAGGAATGTCAGCCTCAGGGATTAAAGGGGACCATCTAACTTGTATTCAAAAGTTCTTAACCGATCGTAGGCAAAAAAGCTATCATGGGTGGTCACTGTTCAGAATGGGCACCTGTAAAAGTAAAGTACAAAAAGGGCCAGCTCTTGGGACTCTCCTATACATTGTTTATGTAAATAACCTAGTATAATTCAGTATATATGAGGGATAGAGGCAGAGCCTTGGAAAACCCTATTGACAGATAGACGTATGAAAAAAACATGCAGATATTTACTTAGCAGTTATGCCAGTCATTGATATCATGTAAATGTTTGACCATCAAGCATAAGTTTATCTAGTCTTCTTTTGAAAGTCTCGACGTTTTCAGCTAAGATAACGGAGTTCGGCAATTTGTTCCATCCCTCAACCAGCAGGTGAGAGAAGAATTTGGCCCGCAAATCGAGTCTGGCATGTTTCGTCTTCAGTTTGTATGGGTGCCCTTGGAGATTTGTCGTCCGCGCAAGTTCGAAGAAGTCGTCAAACTGAAGAGCACAGTCTAGCCCTCGGACGATCCTGAACGCCATGATCATGTCCCCTCTGTACTGAAAGTAGAATCCGATAAAGCCCTGTTGACAGACGATATTTAATTTTGGAGGGCGGTAAAAGATTAAAGAGACTCTTAGATATAGCAACAGGGTATAGAAAAGCTGCAACCCTGGAGCGGGATCTGGTGCCTGAAATTCGATGTTGACAAATGTGTGGTAATGCCCATACTGTCAGCAAGACGAAGAAGACTTGTATCTTCATGACAGAATCTCTCAAAAAGTCAGCTACGTAAGACCGTAAATGTGCGAAAAGATCCTGGAGTATACGTTAAAGACGATTAAGGCATGACAACGCAGTGTTACAAATTGGCAGTGCGGGCAGCGTCAATTATAAGTGCTATGTGCAGAATACATGTAGATCTGGATGCGGATATCTTCGGTAAGATATATTGAGCGTTTGAACGACCGCACCTAGGGAACCGTTTGCGGTGCATACATGGCGTCCGGACCTCGGAAAGACAAAGCCATGCTTGAAAATGTATAATCCCAGAGACATGGTTGACTGAGGCAATAAATAACGACGAAATCGGTATCGAAAACTATCAAGTGTTCCGTTGTGCTAGATTTCAACGTTAAAGAGGGGGCGCAGGAATTTATATATAAGAGGAAGTTTCGTGCTGTCAGCGAGAAATATCAAACGTGATGCCGCGAAATTCTGAAATAATTTCATGCCAGATTAGTATCAGTCGCTTACAGACATTTCGCTTGTGCGTTGCCTATCGTTCTCTTAGCTCAAATGAAGGCACCGGCATGGAACTCCTTAATTCACTGGAGTTGCTATGTAAGCAGCAGAACTTACTACTCCTTGGTGACCTTAACGATCCAGGAACTGGAAAATTCACCCACGCCGTTCGAGCACAACCTGCCACAATTTTCTTTAGATAAATCTCTCATTCGACACAAAATTGGGAAAAAGGCTGAGAGAAGGACAGCAATCCAGCTGATTAGATCTTGGTTGATAGGGAGACACAACTGCTGGAACAAGTGTTTTATTAGCCTAACGTTTCGGATTTTCACTCGAATCCAATAATCTTGACCGGCGTACAGGCGCATAGCAACTGCATACTTCAAGACCAGGCCAACCGAACCCTGATGCACTTGAGAGCTGCCAAATGAGGTAGGCATATATCGGCCTCGTTGATATTTTGGCAGATTTTGACTAATTCATATTGACCCAACTGTGAAAAACTCGGCGCCTCGGTGGGATTGGAACCCACGCAGTAAGGGGAAGGCTTTAGCGCAGCCAACGCTCTAACCACCTGAGCTACGAGGCCTCTTAACATGCCTAGTCGAGGTAGAACTCATAAGCCCAAGAGACACCGCCGAGTGGCTGTAGATGCGGTTATAACATTGCTCGCCTGAGCGCAGAAACAGACTAGTGGTGGTGAGACAGAGGAACCCACCGCGAGCAGCCACAATTCGCTTATGCTCGAAACGAGAAAGAGCACTGAAGGCCGCGAAGATAATCGCCCCAAAACATGCTACCAGTAAGTATGACAACGAATAGCAGACGTTGGAGGTCGTTAAGACACAGTAAGAGTAGCCAGTGAATTATGTACGAACAAGTAAATTATGTATGGTCCACCCTTAACTTTCATGAGGAACCCGTCACAGTTCAGTAACTGAGTTACTGACCAAATATTTGATCTGGTTCAGTTTTTATACTCTAGAGCCCCAATTTATCCGTTGATGAATGTTGGAAAAATTTGGCCCTTGTCATATTTGGACAAGCCTGACCATTCGACGCACACTGATAACCGCGTTTTTTCAGATATCAGTGCACAAGAAATGCTGTTCAGCTTAAGGAGCTAAGCGTTGTCCATCGTGCTCATTAAATAAGCAACATAATAGATTATTCTTCGAGCAAACACTGGCCTGACGCTGCCAGTGTGGGTGCGGCTTTATTCAGCCAGGATTAGGAAAAAATATAAGAGGTGGGATCTAAGGTAGACGTCGATCCTCTGTGCATTTTTGCTGTTTTTATCTATTTTGCTGCATTCGATTTCAGTTTATTTGAAGGAAACATACGTGTTGGAACTTTAAACTCCCCTTTTGTTACAAGGAAGCGAATTGTATCAGAAATTTGAAAACGGAAACATCGAACAGCTACAGACGTTTTTTCAGATTGGCGGAGTCTTCAAAACCAGTCAGATAAAAGATTTGTTCCAAGTGCTTAAAAACACTCACATTTAACGGACTTAGGATAATTATAAAAACAAACGTTACTGAAATGATATGGTAGCATTTTTTTAACTGTTCGCCCCGTATTTTATTCTAACTCCTGTGCTCTTTCTCTTTTATCTCTTCTGCTTTCTAGGTTCGCGCATTTGCGTGTTTATTTGTCTTTCGACATCCTATGTGGTTCTTTGATGATTTAAGCCACTGGTTCGTTCTGTTCGAGTCCTTGTACGTATGTTGCGGTCCGTTGGTCTTCTCTCAGCCAACTTTCTTTGGCTTCTCGACATTTGCTCCCGCCCTTTTGTATTTTCGCAAAATGCCTCATCATCTTTCTCTGGGGTGTCAGCATAGCGACAAACCCTGCATTGAGGAATCAGCGCCCGCTCTCTGTTCTAGACCTTACAACCTTGAACATCGTCCCGGAAATTTTGAAATGCATCTGACTCCTGAATGGTTGCTGTTGCCCTAAAAGCTTCCCCAAATGAAATTCAGTGAACAGGCATTTCGTGATGATTGCGTCCTCTTCTTTAAAAATTTGCCCTCTGTTCTCGAAGATAACGATATTTCCAGCTTCCTTAAAAGGCTGGGGGCCATAAACACTGAGCCTCTGCCTCCGAATGGTCGCTTGAGAACAGTAACTGTTGCGGGTTTTATATATTCTGTTTCAGCGAAGGGCCTTTGCAGAATTTAGCTCCTCTAACGACTGCTGGAAGATTGTTAAGTCATTGCATCAGTTTAACCTTCTTGGTACACGAATATCTGTCGAGTTCGCTCGTGTTCGTTCATGGTCTGTCACGACTTGATTTCTTAATTTACTAGCTTCTCGGAAGTGGAAACATCTCCACAAAACACAAACGACTCCCAGAATATGAACTCGGATCTCGGTCAGAATGAATGGGTTAATCAACTGTTGTCAATCTCTCCTCGCTGGCTTCCAATGCACACCTGGAAAGAATCGCTTTATTCGTACCCTAAAGCATCCACCGAAATCCTCACGAACATTGTGCGTTGTATGAAGGCAGTGCCAAACTTCTATATCCAGGTACCATTCATCTTCGAGTTATTTGCGCAAACTTGAACTTGCATAGCTGTTTAATTCGAGGTATCTTTCCTCGACTATTGGATTCCTTTTTCCGCTTATTGAGCTGATAGTCATATATGCTAGAAATTGTTTGCCGTTACTAACTAGCGCGCCGAAAGCATTTTCGATTTGTATTTAGAAGTTTCCTACTTCTTCTACTTTTCTAAATTTTTCATCAAACTGTACAACAAGCGATGGTTTATGCACCCGCGTTTGACGCTGTGCTCGCGTATGGGCGCTTGTCATCTACTGACTGACTAATACGCGTGTGGTTGAAGACTAATAGGCTTGCGACCTTCCCCCGCCTGGAAAGTGTTATAGTCACAAGTAGCATGCCATAAGAAGGTTTCGTTCTACTGGATGTGCTGCAAGCTGAAAACGTTTTTTAGACACCACTTAACGGGCTTCGTTTTCTACGAAAAACGCGAAACGCTTTCTGGGTTCGGCATTTGGAAGCCATCTTACCCTATGATCCACCGGCAGCACTTATTTATAGATAAGTTTACGTCCCCCATGATGCCATAAACCCCCATTTGCTTACGCCCGCTGCATTACAATAAAACTGAATTGAGTGGGAAGTTTTCTTCATATTAAATTACCATTCTTTTGGTTCGCTAACTAAAGTTTTTTAGATGCTTCTTTCCCTACGTTTAGTCTCGCTATGTCTTTTTAAAACGAACTCACTGAATAATGTGTGTACATAATAAGTCTCCACCATGATAACGCGTTAACCACTCAGAACGACCACTGCGAGTACGCTTATACACCCATTCGATATAATTGTACCACTCATCTTCACCAGTCACTTTTTGCTTACTGGGAGCGCTTACTGTCTGTCTTGAGCGAACCCAACGTGGGTGCTATGAATTCCCATTTGTCTGCTCGACTGACGGTAAATAGGTTGAATTCTCACTTTTTGAAGCTTTTTACTGGAATTTCAGCGCCTAGTATTGCCTCTTTGAGCCTCTGTTTGATCAAGTGGTCCCGTCTTCCTATCATTACTTCATTCAGGGGTCGGAGTTCGCCAACCCGAATCATCTTCATTGGCAAATCCAAGCCTGGCGCTCACATTGTATCCTTATCGACCAACATTTGTATTAGTACTTGTTTATGAATTTGTTCACCGTCATTACTGTCTCCGTGTTTTCAAGACTCATTAAGTTTCCTTGACTTAAGTTCTTATGTTAGCATGGCGGCTTAGGTCGAGGTAAGTGCCTCTCTTGCATTCCGAATGAAGTTAAAGTTGAAACACGAGCTATCGTTCATTTCAACTCTACGGACAACTAATATTTGCAGTCGTCTTTGTCTTTAGCCTTATTTTGACCTTAGCGAGATGCAGGCCTTACTGTCTCATTGAATTTTAACCAATTTTCTCGTGTTCCCCACACCCTTGAAACCGTATGTAAAACTTATTGTATGGTAGAGCAAGAAACCGTTGTACTGGCCCTCTAGTCCTTTTTCTTCATTTGAAGTTGGTCCCCTATTACTAAAACCCCCGTGAACAACCCAATCTTCGGAAGTTCCGCCTTGCGATTTTATAAGCTAGTCTTACTGCGACTATTTCCCGCTTTGCTTCTGCTGTTTATTTCTATCTTAGTTAGGAAATTGATGCTGCTAGTGGGGGTTGACTCTTCTTTATGGGCGTGCCCCTAACTTATTGTACTTTGCTTATTTCATAGGTTCTTCATCTGATGAACCGATTCAACTTTCCACCTCCCTTCTGTGAACCGGCTGAGTTCCCTGGCTCCTTAAAGGTAGTGGACGAGAAAACCGTTTCCCGACCCCTCGAAACACTTGCGCCGTTTTCTTTCGACAAGGAACAGGCTTTAACAGGAAGCCATGAAGAGATGGAGGTTTCTAGCGGCCCCGAAAGCGAGCTTGAGTCCGGTATTCTTCTTCCCGGTGTTTTCTTTATTTTGATTTAGATGATGAACAAAAGAGAACGAGTTCTGCAACCAAGTCAGGCCCACTCCGGCCCTTACAACATCGTCCTCACAGAAAACTACCCAAGGGTCTTCTCGTACGGACGGAAAAACGCCTGGATATTAAGGGTCGTGAATTACGACCTCTGGCTCGTGAACTGCAGTCAGCACGGTTAGAACCAGTTGAAACTACCCCTCCGACGAGCCCTGTAGCCATCTTCGGGGACGCTGACCGACCTTTCCGGGGCCCTGTGCGCATCGCTATTAATGTATCTGGACCCACGCCTGTTCCTACTACTGACCCCGAAAACCCGATCAGATCACTTGCACCAAATTCCCCGACCGCCTCTGCCGGCTTTGGAGTCTTCTCCTTCCGATCCCCGACAGAAGGACAGCCACCTCAGGCAGCAGGCCAGACGCGGTCTACCTGCGAGGAAGGTAAGACATTTTTAACAGATAGTGGTTGGTATTGTGAACCTCTTGTGTATATGTGAGTTAGTGGGTATGGGTGCTTTTGGCTAGCATAACCTGTCTGAAAGCTGACCTAATGACGAAATACTTTCGTAAAAAGGCAAACTAAAAACGCAACATTACGTAGAGGTTTTTCTTCTCAAGGTTGTCTTGTTGGCCGTTGTGGAAGGATTCATCTAGAAACCCGAGCATAGCTTACAGGAATAGCATATAAACACTTACCTTCAGCCTTAAAGGGTCAGTTAAATCAAATAGGTGTAGCAATGCATTACTGATGATGAAGTACGGAGCTATGAACACGATCCCACTCGTTCAATCTCTTTAGCTTCCAAACCCTGAATATCAAAGGTGGCCTCAGTCCAGAGAAATCGAAGTCCCTACTTGAGTTTAGTAGAGTGACTGGAGGACTGACATTCAGGCTGTAGTGGCTTCTTCTTAGTGCGACCTTTATGACATTTCCACCTATTTGAGACCAGAGACGCCTTTACAGTGGTCCGGCACATCCATTAGGGACCAGGTGGTGTACAGCACACGTGACGAGCTGTTTAACTCTGTCAGCAACTGCGCCCGCGTCCACCTCCGGTGGTTTTGACATTATTACGCCATCAGTGCAAGGTGAGTGTGGGATGAGAGAGTGCGATAGATGTCGTGCAAGTCCGTCTCACTTTAAATTGCTTCACACGTATGTCACCGGTGCGGCTCCCACTTTATGGGCACCCGGTTGAAGTCATCGCTCGTGACAGTTGCACTGTCATTAGTAGATACAAGCATCTCCTTCAGCCTGCAGTCAGACGACAGTTTCGTCAATACTGAGCTAGCTTTTGGCTTTGTCCTACTACTCATAGAAGTCAGTACTACACGATTCCTCAGAAGCACCCTTCTTCTTCGTTGTTATGTGGCGAAACTAACTGATTCAGCCCTACTCGCAGCCGACTAACTTGGGACGATGCTTGTTGGCTTTACCTCTCGCGTTGACGGCAGGTTGTTGTAGCTCAACCCCTGCCGTCGACGGACATGCCCATCTATCTACTGGATGTATGCGTGTTTAGTGAGAGAAAGTATGGTACGAGACTGTTCTATGTGTCTGGGCTTAGCCACTGTTTTGCTATCTAATGAAACAGCTCGTTTATGAATTATCCTTGTTTGAAAACTAATTCTGACACCGTGTAAAAATTTTCAGTTTCCGGTGGAGTGGACTCACACCGCGCCCCCTCGAACCTTCATGCCTCTACGTACCAGGAACCTCCGCTGTGCTCTACACATGAGTACTGGGACATTGACTTCCTGACGATTTCGCAACTAGAAGCTGGCAGGGTCCCAGCCGACGAACTATCGGAAAATCCAGTCTTCTCCAAGTCTTCGTCGGAGCCAGGAGTTCCGTCCTCGCGCCTGTACATAAAGAATCTGGCCAAATCTGTGTCAGAGGAGGATCTCTGGCGTTTATTCGGTTCCTTCCGAAACCCCGGTACTAACGTTAAAGACACCGATAACCATCTGAGCGCACAGTCCGACGGCTTCGGCAGTCGTTTTTCCATCCGTCTTCTCACCGGCGGAAGAATGAAAGGTCTGGCTTTAACGCCTTTGTTTAATTTTGTTCTATTGTTTTGTTTTCCTCCCGCCGAATCAGCTTTATTCAGGAACTTTCAAAATACTACTGAAGTTGATTTCGAGATCAGGACAAAAGTGTCCTGGCATTCCTCGTGACTATTTCGACTGGTCACTAGTGTCTTCCATAGTGGTATGATTAGTAGCCACTGCGTTTTGAATTGAACAAATTGCTGCTTATTTGTGCATGTACTATTAGGCATTAGCATAATTTCGAAAATTTCGAGTCTGCCAAAACCATGTCATCGCTGGAAAAAGTGGGAGAGATTAACAAACTTTTTACTGTGAGCAATTTCGGATTCCTTCCTGACCTCCTTTAACGGTTGTACAGGTGCTATTGTGCTTTTTTGAAAACGACCATTTTGCCAAAAGTAACGCAGGCACATATCGTCCTAGCTCTACGCAAGTGGCTCCCAACTAGACTTCCAATCATGTGTAACTATTCCCAGTGGTATTGTAGAAAGAGATTGAGTCTTCCTGTGTCATTACAGCCTCTTTGCACCATGAATTTAGGCAAGCCCTTAGCATCGACATTTAACGACTGGAATCAGAACCAACGTCTGACTTTTGTTCCTGCACTGATCGGAAGCTAAAGTTACACAGTTTTTGAACATCTATCCTAAGTCACTTATTGTACTCCAATTTTTTGTATTTAACTCGTTGAAGGACGGACATTCAATTTGAAGTTCAGTCTTTTTTAGTGCTAAGGCACGCGTGCTGCACCCACTAATGAGGCCCAAACTCCTCTTTATGGGAGGTCGTAGTTTAAAGGGGGGCGGGGGGGGGCTTTCTATTTTGTGCCATTCATATTCGGCTAAGCCTAACCCACTTTGGCTGGATGTCATTGCCTCTACTTGACAGTAATCACGTCAGCATTGCCGAATCAATACTCAGAGACCGGCCGAAAGTGAGTGGAAATGTACCCGCGGCTCCTAATGACGGTTTACACTATAGGTGCGCTAGACCAAGATGGGAGTCTGGTTGGCTCACGGTACGCGTTAATCGGGCTGCGCAAAGACCGCGCGTGTTTGCAGCTACTGTCGTGCATAGGGGTGTAGTGGCGCGCTTTACACGTGGTCATTGCGCCTCGCCAGTCACTGAACCCAATCCCGTCACAAGGAGGTTGACAGGCCCAAACAGTCAACAAGAGCGAGGTAGATATTACGAGAGAGATAGAGGGGGAAAGAGAGAGGGAGGCCGACACTGAGGAGTCTATCCTTACGGCACACCAACGCACCCCTTTGAATCTATCACGACCCACTAACAGTCGTAGCTTGGAAGACCGTCAACTGAAGGGATAGCTCAGTCCTTCTCGGGCTCAATGACTTCTCCTTAATGTCGTCACCATGGCACTATCACTTGAAGAAAGCCTTGTGCGTGCTATGAGAACTAAATCCTGTGTGGCATGCGTATGCGCGTTGTTCATTCTTACCAGCCACTGCGCCTGAGTTCAATTCCGGTCGTTTTCGCATGGTCTTGACACCAAAACAAAGTGGTTGAGGAAAGAAGGGGTGCGGTAGATGCCGCGCAAGTCTGCCTCACTGTAAGCCGACTCACATGCAAGTCACAGGTGCTGCACAAACTCCGTGGGACACACGATGGGTGTTGTCGTTGGCGATGGTCGAACGATCGATAATGCACCCCGCTCCTCACGCAGGCCCAGTGACGAACGGGTAGCCTCCGAATACGATCGCTTAGGGGGGTGAAGGACAGAAGGGTTGGTTGTACACATGCCATTACTTTTACTTTGCATAACTATGGTCAAACCCGATCTAACCGGCTTTGATGATGTTGCGGACTGCACCCTTTCACGCACTCCATTCGGTGTAATCATTGCGTTTCAGCCTCCCCTCCCCCTGTCTTTAAGGGCTTTTCTACCCCCTCCTTAGCTCAGTCTCCGGTGTTTATGATATTGGACCAAGGCTCAAGCCCACGAGTGATTGGTAGCTGGTGTTGGGTGAAGTGAGTGGCGCATCCAGACCGACCCAGAAACGCCTCCAGAATCTGCTAAGGCGCGGCACACATGTACAAACGTTGATGTATGTGGTGCAGGACTGGACGGTCATACGTTGGCAGTGACTCCATCGAAATGCTTCCCCCACA